GTCGGGCAGCTTAGTCGGGCTTGCACCGCTTTCGGGGTTCGGTCGGAGTCACTCCCTGACCGCACTTGAAACGTCTAAACGTCCAAACGGTGTACAGGTCCTTCATAGGAAACAAAACAATCGATCAAAATCATTTCTCAACTGGCGACACCTTCGAAAAACTCTGAAATACCCGTCTTTCTTGTTTTCTGTAATGTTTGCGTAAACCTCGCTCTGCCTCATGACTTCTTTTTCTTTTTCTCAACGCAAAGATCCTCTGATAACGATTTCAACTCAACAAACAACCCCGCAAAATTTTAGATACCCTGACATAGGCTTAAGAAATACTGTTCCGAGTTTGCCCCACGTCCAATATCGTTCCTGATATGCTCCTAAAACCCCAAAACTCATCCCCAAACGTTTTCCTTACCAAAAACATTCTTTTATACATGTGATCAAGCCAGATTAACTTTTTTACCGTCTGCCAAACCATTTCCTCCTTTTTTGCCTGCAAAAAAACTAAACCAGTTCTTCTAAAAGGACAAAATTTCGGAGTACTTTTGAAGTGACAACATTGAAATCGAACCTGACAAGTTTTATTTATAGTTGATTCAAAAGCTATTAAAAACACCATACCGCTAAAGGTTCTCGAAAGTATTTTCCCTTCCTGTGTCCTTTATCTATGGTTTACAAAATTCGAGGAAGAGGACTATAACGCTGATGGTCCTCCTTCCATATTTTTTTTACTTTATGTTCAAAGTTGATCAAAAATTGTGAAGAAGTGTCCTCCAAATTAAGTGTCTCATCTTCTATCCATTTTCTTCTTTTCTCATTTTTCTTTCTTTTATCTTTCATTGATAGTTTACAAAAATTGTGAAAAAGAATGCAATGCATTTGCTCCATTTTCTAATCTTTTTTTTCAGTTTTTTTTTCAAATTTTGATTATATCTTGTCTTTCTTCTTAAACTGAATTGGTGAAAATTTTCCAGGGTGAGCTGGGTGCCTCATCGGGTTCCATTAAGCCTCCGAAACATCTGATTTGCTATCACCTGCTTGTTATGTAAATACTTTTTTTGCAATTTGCCTACCGTTGATTTATTCAATCGATTTTTACTTGTAATTTCTCCTCCCCCATTCATTTTTGCAGTCCGACGCTGCTTGAATAGGTCGTCTTGCATCCTTACTGTACGTCTAAGCCATTTCTTCATATTACGTCTAGGCAAACACCTGCCACGGAGGTGGCGCCATGCTAGCGCAGAAGAATAATTTCTTAGGCCACATATTTCCAAATGAATGCTACGATTCGAATCGGTAAATTTCTACAAGAATCACGCATTGCTTGACGAATTACTATGACTTCGATATAACTGAGAACAAGATTTTTCTGAAAGCGTTTTCATTTTTACGATCTCTTAGAAAACAATGCAATAACAATAACATGACCCTCACTCACTCCGCTGATAAGTGACGAAAATATTTCGATCGCTTTTCCACACCCATGCTTCACGAAGCCTTTAACGACCATTATCGTAGCGTCATCTGTTTGCTTTATCTGATCAAAAACGTTTGCATGTGTTTGTTAGCTCTTCTTCTACTTCAGAATTTGATGTGACTTATGGTCACGCTTGGGAAATAGTCACTGTAACGAAACGCATGCTTTATGCTGGTTGTTTCAGTGGTTTGTGTGATTTCTATGCTCATCGGACTTGAAAGACACATATTTCTTTTCCTATCTATTTGTTATTTTTTTATAGAAGTTGAGATGAGATGCAAATTAATAACAACATTTTTCAGGATCAAAGGCAGAAATGAAGTGTTATGTTTAGAATCAGAACTATATTTACAGAGTGATAAGATTAAAATGAAATTTTCATTTGATAAAAGTTTAATGCTATCTTGGTAAGGTATAGCTCTCAAGATGAAATAAATTGTACTGGGAAACTATCTCACTTGAGCTTCTTACACTCTCGGGAAGAAAGGAACGGTAGTTTCCCGTCGTGACGTATTATCGTGACAAAACCTTCATGTGCTGAGGTTGTCTACTTATAGAGTTTGTATTTTGAAACCGGAAGTAGAATCCTTAGCTAAAAAAATCAGCTAACTCCCCATTTCTCATACACCTTTAACGCACTGTTTCTATATACACATATTCTACTTTTACTAACTGTTTAGCAGTGGCGGTCCGAGGGGGGGGGGGGTGCGTTCCCCTCCCCCCCCCCCCCGGAATGGAGATTTTTGAAAATTTTTGGAAGTTACTTATATGGGTTATAAAAATGTGCAAGTGACTTGTTCAGGTTACGAATAATAAAAATAATTTTTAAAATTTTTAGAAATTCAAATTAGCTTTGTGAAATTTTTTTTCAAGGGCCTGGCTAATGTCACGCCCCCTTTTTCTAATATTTTGGGGTCATGGGCCCACAAAAATTCTGGGAAGCATCCCAAAAATTTTTTCGTATCCGTGATTTTGTCGCGCTCCCCCTCCCCCTCCCCCCCCCCCCACCGGTCCGAAATCCTTGGACCGCCACTGTTCTATGGGAATAAAGAAATGTTGGGCACACGATGGCAAATCCCACCCCTAGCGATCCTGGCCTCCCAAATACATGGCTAAATTAGCTCCTCCTAGTGCAGATATACAATCAAACCTTGTAGATGCCCTAGTTTTTGAAAATTTGAGAATTAATTTTCATGGCTGGAAAGAACAAGACATTCATTGAAACACGAAGCAATCATTGTTAAATAAGACCCATTTGGATGCTATTAGAAGTTTAACCACTAAAAGTTGTAAAAAATTAAATGCTGCCATTTATTCCCCCCCCCCCCCTCCCTCCCTCCGACCTGCTCTTGTGATTTTCTTATGATCAAATCCAACAATTTTCCACAATAATTGTTCGTGATTGATTTGCCTATGTCGGACACATATTTACTCTCCCTTAGTTTTATCCTGTGGAGTGAAATGAGCATGAATGACAACCTCTGTATGTAAAAGATAGATTTTTGACCAAACATCAGTGCTACTCAGAAGAGAATCGCGCACGAATGCGTGAAAGACTTTCTTATGTAAATTCAATTCGTTGCGAACCCATCATTCTCGATAAAGTGTGTCAAACGCAAGTTTATCGCTGGTTTGTTTCGAGGTCAATGATGAAAATGAGCATTGACAAGGGTTAGGGCATGAGGTCATAATGGTGGGAAGGAGGGATTCTAGAGGGCAGTCATACTGGTGGTGGATGACGAGCAGGGCTCGGCACAGGTGGCTTACAAGCAAGCTGGATATCGTTTTTGGGACGAAAAGCAAAGGGGGTTTCGTTTTTGTGAGCGAAGACATACGGAAAATTGACGACGGCGACCTTTTTTTTTAGTCGACGTTTCGTTTTTTGGGGGATTTTCGGGAATTTTTCAGGTTTTTAGAAGAAATTTGGTTCAGGGTCAAAGGGGACTTCGTAAAAATTCCCAAAAGTCAAGGGGGACTTCGTTTTCCCATTTTCATCCAGCCACCTCATGCCGAGCCCTGATGACGAGTGTTTGGTCGCTAACAGCTCTCCTGTATTATCAGCTTCAGGTAGCATACAGAGCTGCCTCAGCTCTTGTTAATCACCCGCGCCTCATTACTGTAGGTTTACGGTAGGATCCAGCACAACGTCGTCGTTGCAGAATGGGAATGGCTACCACTTCAGAAAACACTCAAACGTCTAACTTTTGAAGTGAGGCTTTTAGTCCCCGATTTTGCGTAAGCTTGCATTAGATTGTAGGATAAGTTCCCGGATTACTGTAAAACCTACTACGTTACATCACTGACGGTTCCAGGATTTGCATTCTAGAGAGGCGGGGGGGGGGGGGAAGAGAGGGGAGGAGCGACAAAATCTTTTTGGAAATGAACTAGCCACGCATCCCGAAATTTCTTTGGGATGCTTCCTTAACTTGGGGGCCCATAACCTTGGAACCACACCTCGAAGAAAATTCTTTAAAAACTGGCTAATTTAAATTTAAAAACTTCAAATATTTTGATTATTCACAATTATACAACTTCAAATGTTTTGATTATTTACAATTATACAAGTTATTTGCACATTTCTATAGCTCATGTAAGCTTATGTTTCAAAAATTTCGCAAGCCATTTTCGAGCCCCTCGATCACTGCTTTACACCTCTTGTAAGTTGTAAGCGAGACATCACAGGAGCAAACGAGATTTGTTTATTTATATTTATCTGTTTATTTCTGTTTTCAATAAATTTGGATGGAAACCCTTCGAATTCATGATAGTTAATTCTTATATTTATTATGATTAAAGGTCAGTATATTCATATGGAAAATATTTGCATAGTAATATTTCCAGTAAGCCTCGTAGTCCGAAGTTTCTCGAGATTTTCAGAAATCTTTTGATTTTCATTGTCTCAATAAGCAAGATTTCTGAATGTTTTTACCGTAATCCTACTGTAAACGAAGAGCGATGGGTCAATCATTTTGTAGCATGATTCAAGTAAAAGCGTTGAAGCACCATCCTACAGTAAGATCCTTAGCTATCCGTAAGCTGATGATACGAAGAGATATTTGCGATCAGACAGTCACAATTTTTTTGTGACTCCCTGCATATCCTATCCGAACCTCAACATCCTCAGCATTATTTGCATTCGGTTCGCTTGATCTGAGGGATCTTATCTTCGGCAAACAACTTTTACACGTGCTCTGTTTACTTTCGCCCAACTTTGAGCGCTTATTCAGTTCGTTCGAGCGGCCTAGCATCACTTGCAGCAGCGGCGGCTGGCTCTCCTAAGCCACTCTTCGCTTTTCCAGAATATCAGCTGTTAGAACATCGCTTAGTCAGAGCAGCACTGCCTTGAATCAACAAAACGTGAAGAGCTTGTTGACCTCGAGGGGTGGCTGCTGCCTCGCCTCGACGTCGTGTCGCCGACGTACTTTTCAGTTTTCGCTCATGTCATGCACACCTTCACTCTCACGTATCCTATCTTCAATCCGATCTGTCAAAAGTTAAATTTTGCTCGAAAGTGATTTGGTTTTTACAGTTCCACGACAGTTGCGCGAACTCGGCCCAGCTGCCGCCTACGCGAAGGCCCCGCCCCATCTCTCGAGCCAGCTCAACGGGTAAAAGCGCAGATCACTTCGCTTTTCTGTTGCTCTCCACTACCCCGCAATCAAATGCTCTGTTGCCCGTTGCAGGTAGCGATCTATCGTTCTGACAGAGGATCCGTTTGAGACTATGGACAAACTGGAGAGGAGGCTCGCTCGTCTCTGGCGCCGTATGCGCGGCGAGAAACGGAGAGAGCGCCGGTCGAAGACGAAGGGAGAATCCTCGCCACAGACAAACCGAGGAGAAGTCACTTCGAACAGTAACAACAAGCAGCGTCAAGAGAATAGCAAGGAGCAGAAGGACGTCGTCGCGACGACCGTGAGACGCACGCATTCAAAACACGAGGAGAGGGATTTGAATAATTTTAAATCGCCTAGACGTAGTCATTCGAGAAATGCTCACGACGGGGATGTGAAGCCAAGTCTGAGGCGCAATCACTCCAAGCATGAAGATAGAGATGCCGGCGTGCTCGTCAGACGCAGTCATTCTAAACACAGCGAGAAGGATCTAGAGAACTCTCAGAACGCAAATCACAAAGCTGAGAAGGATCTGTCCACTAAACACGATCCTTCCAAGCAGGAGAAGAGCGTAGCACTGAATTCGACACAGTACCAGTCTTCTCAAGACGTATCCCGGGCGCTGATCAGGCTCTACGCCTTCGCTCGGCTGAAGTCGCTGCAGACGGCCATTGTGGCCGGAGGATCGCCGTCCTCTGGCCGTTCCATCACATCAAAGCATGATGATTTTGAATCGTTCAAGCCATTGGAAAGGAACTCATTCCTCTCATCGCTTCCGCAGCTATCAATCAATCGATTAGAAAGCAGAGACTTTGACAAGGTGAGGTTTCGTGGGTACCTCTTTGTTGACAAAAAGCGTTAAGAGTCGAAGAATAATCACGTTCAATCTCTTCTGTTTTCAAGTTTTATTGAGTTATAGAGCAAAAACAGACTTATTTGCACGGTTAATACGTCTAGTCATCTCTATCCTAATATGTGTGATGCCATAAAGTAAACTTTGTTGGCCGTTTTGCAAAGCTTTACACAATACGAAAATGCAAAATGATTTCGCTAAAACTTAGCACACGGGGTCATTTGACGTGCTGATTACGGAAATAATATTCATCCGCGTGTAGGGCCTTTTTTGAATTATTAGGTTGTCAAGAAAGTAATGTCGTTTTTCATAGCAAAGCCATAAGACAAATCCAAAAAAATATGTGAGGGGTACCATTCGATAGGGCAAAGGAACTTCTACAAGTTGACCTCCGAACACTGGCAGAATTTGTTTTTACGCAAAGTTCAGAGCCAAAACATATGAGCAACTCGTGATGCCAAAAATTGGATTTTCGCCCTAGAAAAACCTGCGAACCTCTCACTTGCTCCTGCATGTAAAAGACACATGCACATGTCCATAGGTACACTTGCCATATTTTTTCCATGCTTAGAAACCAGGAAAAAATTGAAAATGGAAATGGAAAACTCCGCCCCCAGTAGTACTGCGCCCCTCCCACATGTACCATTGTATATTACAAAGCTTTTTAACTTCAAACATGAAATTTTGGCCTCGGATATGCTCTAGTTCTCGAGTAATATCAATTTTACCCGAAAAAACCCTAAAAACGACAGTATCTTCTTGCAACCTAATACAATGGTACGATATGGTTAAAATTTCAGAATTTGCTGTAACTTCGCATGAAGAGGTTATTTGGAATGCTGAATGTAGAACTGTGGTGGCTTCCTATACCATATACCTACCGTAACTAAACCATCGCAGAAAGTGGAGATTTTATGCGTAATCATGCCGAATACCCCTCATTGCGGAATTAGCGAAAATTCTAGTTTCATCCTTCATCATAGACGTACCTAACAAAACAGGCTCTACCACGCGCAAGAATGATTATCATTTCCATCATTCATTAGAATGTCAAAGATCCTCTTGTGAAAATTTCAACAGAATCCTGGATTTTGCATTTTTGAGTTTTGTAAAGGGAATAGCGCCTATTGTGGGTTCTGGGAAATCCCGCTGAACGTTTCTCGACGTCTGAAAAGGCAATCGCCGGGTGAAAATCGTCTCCGTGTTTCTTTTTTGACGCCTAGTTTGTGTAGTGTCTGCAATCTCACATATTAGGACATGGGCTGTCAAGGTCATACTCATCTTCCTCTCAACATTCTGTTTTTATTTTATTTCTAACGCAAATTCAACGGTTTTCGAAAGACTATCTTTGCGCAGAAATTATGACTGCTGGGTCATGGAAGAAAAATTAGCGCGTCATACGATGACCCTAAAAAAATTAATTTATGTATGGACACAGTTTGGACATTTATTGCCCCTTCACCGTTGCATGACATCAAATCCATCATATTCACAATATTCTCAATTCGTCTGTTCAAATGTTGGTGTTCTCCTTTCCGAAGACACTTGTGGGTATTCTTCGGCTCTTGTAGTTACGAGTATTCTAAATTTAATAGATAAAAGTAAAAATGGAAAAAAATATTGTTCAGACGTGCCTTAGTCACGATAGTGGATATCTCACCGGCTCACCGCGGGACTTTTCAAGCAGCACTGAAACGCTTCGACAGTCAAAGTAGGCACATATTTGGGCTTTTTAGGCTCTATTTTCACAATGAGATGGGCTTGCCTCATGAAAATCTGCGTGGGAAGATAAAAACAAAGCGTTAAAGGTCTCCAAGTGTGAGAAGTCCAAGAAAACGCGAGGAAAACGAAGCGCTCGCCTACAAAAGACGTTTCCACGCCTCACATGGTGATATTCTAACCACGACAGGGGCAATCAGCTCGTCTACTCAGAAATTGGACACAATTGAGACTTTCCTGAGGTGCGCACCGTAACCTTACCGTAACCCCACCGCACCCCCACCCTAAACCCCACTCATTTTCTCCCCTAAATGCTAGCAAATTTAGCCGAAATGTGTACAAATCGAAGTGTGTGACGAGTCTGTTCGAAGCCGCTTATGCCGGCCTGGATGCACTGATCGACGACGTCCTGGCCGAGTTCAATCGGTGGTTTGTCGGACGCAAAATGCTCGTCGTAGCCAGCGAACTTCACTTCTCCGTGCCATTAGCAAAACGCTCCAGAAAACTGGAGCAAATGTTAGCTTTTGAGCAGCTTTTACACAGAGATTAGCCGCTAAGATTGGCTTGATTTTCCAGATTGAAGCAGCAAATGCTCCGCTCACTTCTCGAAAATAATCGGCGAATCTTGTATCTTAGAGGAAGAGGTGGAGTTCTACCGTTGCATATGGCTGAAGCAAGAACTGAAGAAAATATCTACAGTGATTTGAAACTACAAGCTGTGCAAGGTAAATACTAAAAATCAAGTTCTCTCTATAAATATGTGACCCTGCGGTGACTACAACACTTGCGCATAAAAAGTGGCTGTTCAAGCACACTTGCGATCATTGCACTCCATGCCATTTTTTACGCGTCAATGTTGTTCACTACGCAAGAACACTATGTCAACCGTCAACCGTTGAACTACCTTCACTTTCCAAACAGCTCACGTTACACTTCCTCCTTTTTGTATCATTTTCACTTTTTAGACCCATGGGCTTGATGAATAGGTCTTGCAAAGAAGTGAACACTCCTTGTGCTGCTGAAACTAGTCTTGTGTTTCTGTCCCGACTAGAATGTTTGTGCAGTTATTCGTCATCTCTTTGAAATTCCGCTTTGATTCTGATCGCTAATCCTAAGTATGTCAAAGGGGTAGAGGAACGAACGCCTCAATTAGGCATCGCCTCCGCGGGCTGCTGGTCCTTTCGTCCTACTGTTGTGCATCGTGTTGGGACCAGTGGTCCGCGGAGGCGGTGCCTAATTGAGGTGTTCGTTCCTCCACCCATGTCAAAGCAATCGGGGAACATCGTAAAATAAATCGGGGGACATTTCTACCATTTACCACTGATCTTTTGATACCTCACAATGAGACGGATTATCATTTATTTTCTGGAAACGATTTGGTAGGAAAATAAGGAACGAGAAGTTTTGCCATATTTTTTCACAGTGGAAGAAAAGTCATTTCGATGATATTGAGCAATAGCTTTGTTCCCACTGTGACAAAAAAATGCTTCTGATGTTTATGTTTCGGCAATAGATCATGTTTTCCAAATTTTTATGATGTTTTATGTTTCAAACTTTTGCAAGCTCAAAAGCGCCTGAAAATCAAAAAATCTCCTTCTACAAACTGAATGTTTTCTAGTGGCTCATAAACATTCTTTTTAAATGTTTACAATCAAAAGTAGCCTGCTTGATTAAGTCTGTATGGATTACTTGTATCTTATACAGCATATTACCTTCGCTTCAACAAGCTTGGCGCCTGAAAGGCGGGGCTTTGTGACTCAACTGAGGCCGCTCGCACCCGCAACGCAGTCTGCGTCTTTCCCGCGCGCGTGCTCTCTGATCATTGCCTAACCTCAATCAAGTCACGAAGCCCTCCTTCCAGCTGCCAAGCTAGTTAGGTCAAGGGGTAATTTCGATTTTTTTTACTTTGTTTAGTTTTCAAAGACTTTTTCATTTTAACTTCACCCCAACAATGCTCTACGCTTACTACAACCTTGAAATAAGTTTCCTCTTGCTGTGAGTAGTCATAGCGCTCTAAGGCGATTACGCGCTGGTCTGTTTGAGTTTCCGTCAAAAAGCGTGAGAAGCGCAACTAACTCGTCCCTTATCGGGTCGGGCAGGGGAAAGAATGCACCTCAGCTTAGTTTTTGTGCAAATAACCTGCCGAATTCCCCTCTCTCCCTCCCTGCATGAATCGAATTTGCAACAATAATTGCGAAAACCCCCTTCTCAATGATGCTTCTTACCTGTAAAGAGATTCTAGGTGTCTACCAACGATGCTACTATAAGCTACTACCGTTCGTACATTCGGCCACTCCGACCTGGCATGCCCCGTACTGGAAGCTGTCCGAACCACCTGTCGTGCCAAAGAAGTCCGCTTTTCAGCTCGATGATCACTCAAAGCTTCGCACGCACTCTTTTATCTCCTTCAATATCATCGGGCTGTCTATTTTCGGTATCGGTCATCAGTCACAAGATGTGCTTGCCTAGAGGCAGCACGCTCAAATATTTTTCGCTCTTCTCGTGTGCACTTAGCCATATCATTTTCGCTTTTTCTATCTATTACCTGTACATTTATTATCTGAGCCTTTACGTAATGCACATATGCTCATCGGGTTGTGTATAAATTTTTATCGCATAAATATTTTGCTTTTTCTATGTAGCCATAATTTCGAAAATAAAAGGTCAAGTGTCAGAGTTTGTCGCTGAACTTTGATCAAACATCAAGATGTCACCTACTTCAAGTCCTTCAGACAAGCACACAAAGAATCAACAAGCGGATTTGACAGGATTGCAGGCGCACACACAGTTTGCACTTTTGTGTGCAATTGCACGCAGATGAGCATGGACGTCAAATCCGGTCGCGAAGTTTTTGGAATTTACCTACATGGATTATAAAAATGAATGACTTATTCATTTTGAAGAATTAGAATAATTTTTTATTTATTAGAATTTTAGTTTAATCTTATGAAAATTTTTCGGGCGTGGCTGGCGCGTTATGAGCCCGCCAAAATTTGGGAACCATACCAAGAATTTTTTCGGAGCTGACGCCATGCCATGCACCTTCATCAAAAAGATTTTTGTCCCTTATTTGAATACTCATGCAGTATAGCACATGCATATTTTCAAAAGATGTGGAAACAAGGAGAAATTTTCTGAAATGGGCACTTTTCACATGTCGTGAGACAGCGCGCTTGAGTTGCAGTGCGCCGAACAAGTGGCAAATAGCGTCTATGCCATGTCGAAACGCGTGCTGTGCACGGTTTCAAGGACTCCGCGACGCACCCGCGTGCACTTCACTCATGTGGACAACCTTCATCTGGCAAAAACTATAGACCATTTGGTTTCATGAGTGCGCATGTTGTAGGCAGTAGCACAAGCTGCATGGTTTGGCGATAGGAGTCATCATGAGTACAATGTAACCCCTATTTGGAATATGAAAAAAAATTTTGTAAATAATTTATTCTCAATAAAGTTATGAGCCTGCGACGTTTTCGCCGGAGATCAATCCGTCGCCGTCCCATTGAAGCAGTTCGGGAAATGTGTTTTGACAATTTTCTTTGTTTTCAGAATCGCCTTCTTTTGAACATTCTAAAAATCTCATTAGATTTGCAAAAAACCTAATTATGATTTTGTAAGCTTCCGACAATTTTCTGTTGATTTATCTGCCTCGGCAGAAAAATCCATCGCCTGGCATTTTCTTTACGCGAGTTAGGGGCTGCATTGCATTTTTTCCAAGACAATTTTTCAAGATGAGGGCTGAAAAATTTGCAATAATCATTCCCACATATTTTGTGACTTCCTCTATCGGTCATAATTATAGAGCCATTGAATGCAAAATGTCGTGCAACATATGGATTCTAATGCGTCTGTCGTTATGAATCAGAAAAACGTCAAACTTCTCCCATAATTATGATTCAAAAATTGTTGATTATACACTTCGACAGGTGCCTTTTTCCGAATGTGGCCGAACATGGTGAAAAAAGAACGTTGTTCGAAAATTGAACGAGTTTGTAACCATGAGATTAACAGTCCGGTATTGGTTGTTATTATAAAAGTGGAACCGTAGTTGTTTCCCTTCGTAAGCCCATCAGTTGCGAAGACGATTGTAAAACAAGAAATTACCAGTGAGGGTAGGGGAAGATCTTGCAAAGTGATTTTGGGTAGCAGTAAATAAATAGATGACTACCCCTGTCATGGTGATAATGCTAAAATTCGGATACTATTTTCCATCAAGAAAACAAAGTCTAAAGAAGTTTTAAGTCTTTTCTCAAAATGATTGGTTCGTGAAACCTTCTATTTCTGCCAAAATTGCAACTTGCATTATTAAAGAGCTTAGACTTCGAAACTTCTTCTGTTTTTGCTTTCGGAAATTCACAAAGGTTCGAAATTTGAAGTTGTTGTGTAGCCCACACAACATTATTGTAACAGATATATTCGAAAAATGAAGTTGAAAGTAGAGAGGATAAAGGATTCGGCTCTTCAGTACCCTCATCGAGCTACTCCGAACGCAAAAATGAAGTGTAAACTCTAAACCCAAAATATTAATCGCACCCATTACCTAGAGACTATTTGGTTGTAAGTCTTTTCGTGTCGGCAAAAATCAGCTTAAATCAATTTTTTAAAATAAAGCTTAAGCAAGTATTTTTTAGAGTAACGCAAGCTCTGTAAGATGACTTTCGAAAAGTCGCAAAAGCTTTGACACACGTGATGTTTGCAGCCAAAAATTTTTAAATGCCCGAAAATCGGATCTTATGTCTATGAACCTATAACTTGCTCAGGTATATAATCTCCACATCAGACATTTATATATACATTTGAAGGATTTTTCCATGGTTAGTAAAACAAAAATAGGCCAAAATGATGGAAAACCCAACAAATGCTCGCTTCCTGGGTTTATTATGCTAAAAATAGGCTCAACATTTATAGTGGTACTCACAAAGGTACATACTTTAGATCTGTCTATGTAGGGACCACCACAGCATAGCTTTTACGAAAACATGCAATTTTTTATGTTCTCAGTTTCTAGCAATGGAAAGGACCCAATAGTAACGTGCGCTTTATCATTTTTAGTTCATTTCCTTCTAGATAGACTTACCTGAAATGGCTTTAGTGTTGGCTCATCTACTGCAAAAGTCGGGAGATCAAGAAATTTTTTCAGTTGGTCGTCACCGCTTGGAGCGTTTTCGACACCATAAAGAACGCGTCTCGAGTGCTTCGAATTGAGCTCGAAGATGTTGACGACAACTTTCCGCAATTCAACAAGGTACTCCTTTTCACACTCTTTGCATATTTTGCAAACAAGAGCTTTTTTTTTTCAGGGTGCTAAGCCTGTTTTCGTGGCCTCTTACTCATCCGGCAGTCGTTCGAATGTAGTCATAGGAAAAGTGTTTGCCGAGGACAAGGACGGCCAGGGCCTCAACGCTGTTCACTACTATTTGCTGCCGAGATGTATGTGCGCCAACAGAGTTCTGCTGAGCTGTCTAAAGTGCAGAGAACATACTTTTCGTGGCAGTTTTTAGGCGCATGAACCTGCGTAATCACGAGGGGAGACAGGGTGAAAACAAAGCTTATGAACAAACACTTCAGGCACGACTGACTTCGACAGTTTCTCGGTCGACGAGTACTCGGGGGAGATAGCCGTCACTGCCGTGACAGCTCGTCCATCCCGCGCCGAGCTCTGCCTCTTTGCAAGGTGTTTCCGCATTTTTTTCGCTTATTTTATGGTCCTTACTCAGCCGATTACAGCAATTATGCCGACTTGAACGTCGCTGAAGTGGAATTCGATGCGAAAAATGCGAGTATGGTCAGAGCTGCGGTGATTTTCGAGGGGGAGCCGTCGCCCACGGCTGCTCCAGCTCCGTTCATTCGGAATAACACGGTGACACTCATAGGTGAGAGCACTTGCGTGAGAGGCATTGAACATACAAACAAACTGAGAGTGAGAAAAGCAATCGTCGTTGCAGAGGAGAATCTTCGAAATACCCCCATCGCAGTCACTCAGAGCAATCTCGGTCGCGATGTGCGGTTTGTTCTGGACCACGTTGATTTCAAACCGTAAGTATCAACAAAATTTACCTACATGTGGTGAAATCTGAAAATCCGATAGCAGAGAATAAGGAGGTTGAAACTAGGGAAATAACGAGTGGTTGTGACTCAACAAAGAATAAGTCAGTAGGTCTAGCTGTGAAAGTAGTGTCCATTCCTTGTCGACAATTGGAAACAACACTTGCGCGTGCAGAAACTGCTAAAAACTGCCTGTTTTGGCTGCGATTTACGCGCGCAAAATGGTAGCGGAGGCATATATTCAAGTTTTACGCCCTCCGGCAATTCATTCACGCGCAAATGTTGTCGACAAATTTCTGGGCTGCTGGCAACTATGTTCACCATATCGAAAGATTTTGCATGGGTTTTTATGTAGTTAATGACTTCACTGACCTTTTTTACAATTCAATGCTTACAGTGAAGTCTCAGCAATATTTTGCTATTATGTTTATGAAATAACTGGGAAGCATGGCAGATTGTGCGGTAATGATAACTCCATCAAAAAAGCAAGATGTCGTGATTCGCGCGTGTTATAATAATGAAGTCAAAAAAAAATTAGAAAACTTTCCTTTTGTCGAAAACAGTAACAGCGGTAATATTCTTTGTACTCGTTTTTATTGTACATGTTCACTTTCAGAAATTTTCCTGAAAGGTTAAGTACATAGCAAGGCTATTCTGCGATTCATTTCGTGAGTCCAAGGTCAAGCGCCCACGTTTACTTTTCCTGCAAGAATTCATGGCCACCTTGCATGCATCTTAGTCATCAATGAATCACTGTTACCACTTTCGCAGACCATTGAGGGTTGCACTATATGCATCATTTCTGAAAACTGTGAATGCTGGGAAAAGAACGGTTCATGGCATAACTGGCTCACTTCAGTATGTGTAAGATTTGGTCACTGTAGTGGATTTCAACTGGCTTTGCGGCTGGAAGGCGGGGGGCATCGTGACCCAATTGAAGGCAGCGTCCAGGCAGATCTGGACCTATGGGGATTTTACGTGTAAAGTACTTTTGGGGCCCTAACTAAGGCACTGGTCAAGCGGCAGCGCAGGTAGTGGTCTAAAGGCTGAGATATTCCCCTCGAAACTGGACCTCGCGATCGTATTCGCATGGATTCATGGCAGTTTCGCGCCAGGACCAACGCTTTGCGCCATGAATCCATGCGGAATACGATCGCGGGGTCCAGTTTCGAAGGGAATATCTCAGCCGTTAGAGCACTACCTCAGCTGCTGGTTGGGCAGCGGCTTAGTCAGAGCCCCAAAATTACTATCCACGTGAGATCCCCATGTGTCCAGACTTGCCTGGACGCCGCCTCTAAGCTTAGGTAATGATAAGAGAGCACGCGCGCGAGAGAGTCGCAGACTGCGTAGTAGCAGGCGTGAGCGGCCTTAATTAGGTTACAAGGCCACGCCTTCCAGCCGTCAAGCCAGCTGAAAGATTAGCTGACTGAGATCATAATCAGGAAGTTACACTAGAACGCTATCCGACATGCTGATCGAAAACGATACTGAATTTGCACGGTAAGGCCTCGGGAAAATTACGGTACGGTTGTATGGTGTAAGCTCTCTCTCTAATCGAAAAAGCGCTAATTCAACGAATGAATATGATATTCGTGTTCGGTGCGTCAAATAACTCTGAATCTTCAAATAACTCTGAATCTTTCTCATTGAGCTCATTAAGTCATCCTCTAGCAACAACTCACGTACAATTCCGAATCGTTGTGCGTGGTAGGTTGCGAACGACTCCATTTTTGCTTATAACCCCATAAATTCTTGAAATCTACTAGCTTTTGAGAATTCTCGTATTTTCTTATCTCTTGTTCACAAAGGTTTGTTGGCATTTCTAGCACACTTCAATCTCTACATAATGCCAAACTTTGAGTGCATTATATTCAAAAAGCGAAAACTTATGGATAATGTTGCAAAACTTGAGATCGTAGATTTACCTCGAATGGAAGCCGATACAAAAGAAATTCACCCCAAAATTCGGGTCCTCGCCAAAAATCTTGCAAGATTCCTGCTTGGTCATCATATAGTGAACACATAGTGAAAATAAATGCAGTTGCTGGAATTTTTCAAGAAATGAAAGCAGGTTAAAAATGCGAAAATGTCTCTTTTTTCGCTCATTTGTGCTGATGAAAATTCTCTATGCGTAAGCATAGAAGGGTGAGATTCATATGGTTCTATTTCTTCTAGACTGTAAAATTGAACTACAATCACTATGTAAAGCATGCGACTGCATTTGCAATTTTCAAACATCACTTCTTATTTCATAGCCGAGAAAAAAACACAGCGAGTGCTTATAATGGATGTGTGTGTGCGCATGTTGAATGCCGACCAAGAAGCAAGCTTGTGGGACTATTTTAGCGAGATCTAGTTCTTGAAGCACTGAATAACTCTAATTTTTGGCTTCAAATTTCATCTTATTTTTGCAGTTTACACGAACGTCTGATAGTCATTTTGTACATAGAGCATACTGCCTCTGTAAATCTGTACCCTTATATTCACATTGCGGCTGTAGCAGAACGAACGCTCACAACTTTTCATCAACCCTAAGCTTCTGTTCCAAAATGTAAATCGCTAGGAAATCAAAGGATGTCAAGAAGAATGACAAAGTTACATCTATTGTTTTAGAGCTCAAGACTCATCCGAAGTCCTTCGCTCCAGTACCAACTCCTTATTCTTCGTAGAGCCAGTGTCTGGTGATGTACGCATGAATCCAGCTATTTCTGAACAACCCCAGGGGGTCTACGACGTTTTCGTTAACGTGCTTTCCGATACCTCAAAGAATCTTTTGGAACAATTTGTAAAAAAAGTAAGTTTGACTTAACTTTTGCTGCATAGGCCTAGAAGAAATCTCCTTGCAGTATCATTATGTGAAAGACGAGATGAAAATGCGTTATGTCTTCAACATGACCTCAGAAGAGTTTGCAAGAAGTAGAGGAGAATTTGAAAAGTATGCGACATAAACAGAGTACATAATTAGGGTAAAAAAAGTTTGAATGATATAGGAAAGCACAAGCAGCGCTGAAAAAGGACCATCCTGAAGGAAGTATGGAACTATTCTTCTCGCAACCAAAAAAAGATAAACGAAGCTCTGGCTGGTAATAGACCCAAAATTTGGAAAAATCCCTGAATAAACAAAAATTTACAGGACCTCTGTTTGCTTCCACGCCACTATGAATTCACAAGTGCTCGGGGAGCGTGCCATTATGTCCGCTATATCACAGTCGTCAGTCGAAAATGGCCAGTTGTCAGGTCTTTATCATGTTTACAGAGTTATCAATATTGAGGTAAGAAACCAGTGGATGATAATTTTGCTGTGAAAAAAAAGTGATTTTATCTCTAGCGCTGTGAATCCACGTCACCCCAGATCCGTCATTCTGCCCTGGCTCTCCCAGCGCAGGTGGTAATTCTAGTCGCCGGTGTAGCCATCCTTATTCTAATCCTTATCACACTTTTTACTTATATCTGCTTTGTTAGACGCTATAAGGAGCATCTTTGCGCCAAACAGAAACAATTCAAAGGTATGTTTGTAATTAAAAAAAGTTTAGAGAGATAAAGAAACGAGAAGACGTGCTTTTTCTATTCATACTAGGTTGAGTCAAAAGTAATGAGAACTTCTCGCGCATCTTTTTGGACTTTTAGCAAATTGTGAAGAATAGTGATAGAAGAGTACCCTAAACTGTAATAAACGTAGCTTTTCTTCCTCTTTTCAGGAGCCACGCCAACGGCCCAGCTGACCTCTTGATTGTCGAAAATTTCCCAAATTTTGAACCTGTCATTTTTGCTGAGTGTGTTTAGCTAATCCTCAAAAGTTTTAATTTGAGAGTTTCAAACAAATTTAATTATCTGAAGAGAGAGCAGGTCTTGCTTAATGCAAACCACCTCTTAGGTCTTTCGAAACTAGCATAGACTTATTAAAATTATTTTTCCAAAAGCCCTAAAATTCCAAAAAATCGCTCAAAACGAAAATGCGTCAAACTGTACAAAATCTTTCGAAATCGGGAGCTTCGAAAATAGTTTATTATCAAACCTTGATTATGCAAAGTGTTTAAGCGCTTACCGTTTCAAATTATCATAACCTAGAATTTTTTGCCACGTCTGAAAAAAAAACTATAGAATTTCGAACGGTAAACGCTTTGGGTTCAAAATTTCTGTAAAAATCTCATCAACTGCGAAGAGATTTGGTTGGAAATTATGACTGCTGGAAAGAGGAGAAAAGCCGTATTGGATACCGTTTAGAGCATTTGCCTGTTCACATTCTACCCAATCTGAGAAGAGGTTTAAGAGGAGATATGAAGTTCTCATCACTTTTGACTCACCCCAGTACACCTGTCATGTATTATAGCTTTTTATCACTTACCAGGGCTCGGCGCAAGTGGCTTGTAAGCAAGCTTTTTTTTTCGTTTTTGGAGAAAGCAAGGGCGGTATCGTTTTTGAGGCCGAAAAGACACAAAAATTATGAAGTTTTTTAGTAGACGTTCTGTTGTTTTTGAGGGTTTTTAAGTTTAGGGTTTGGAGTCAGAGGGGCCTCGTAAAAATTCGCAAAAGTCAAGGGGGACTTTTTTGCATTTTCTAAATGCCACCTCGTTAGTTTAGTTATTCGTAGTTCCACTACCTAGTTATTGATAGTTTCGTGTATGACGCACTCAATGGTGCGTGCTTCAACACAAAAACGGAGGAATACAGCATTAAAAGCGTGAAATTTGCAAATGGTAACTTTAGAAGATCTGTAAAGTATCCATAATCTTGGAAAGCGTAGAAGTGCAGAACTTTTTTTTTCAAAAACGGCGGGCATCGCCATAGATTACCACCTCTGCACTTTTTTAGATCACTACAAAGGTTTCGGGATAAATTGCAAAGAGCACTGCAGACGAGCAAAATTTGCTTCACGTGTTAATTTTGAAAGCATTTAGAACCCTCAAACTTGAATTCTGAACTGTGGAATAGCTGGAAGTGCTGCTTGGTCCAAAACCAAGTGTCATTTTATCATTGCTATTTCGAACTATAGTCGCTAGTATCCAACTGTCACCGGCCAATGCCGGCTTATTTCAAAAAAAAAAAGTCCATTTTCCGTTAGCGCAGTCATTTTGTTCCCTACACTTCAAAAAGCAATGCTCCAAAAAACCGATCTATACATTACCCTAATTGCATGTGTTTCAGATGCAGATAACTTATGTACCTTTGATCCATCGCCCACTTTCATCCTTCCACCTGCTCCGTAAGTTTAGCAGTATCCTTGTATTACTGAAAATTCAAGATGTTTTTTTCAGACCCCAATTCGGATACTACTGAAAGCCCAAGCAATCAAACAACTGTTGCAAAAACTAAAATTTACCTAACTTATTGCAATCAATAATAAATCATATTGCCGATTGCACACTTGTAGAATTCATCTATATAAATACATTTTATAAATCGATCATGCCATTTACCATTACTAGGCATGGTTAATGTGACTTTTACCCTATTAGCCAAAAACTGCCATCCAAAAATTGCGTTTTATTTGTTTTTATGGCGTCTTCATGTCTGCAGGAAGAAAGTCGAATTTTGGAAATACGTATTTCAAAGGACCGTGAAATTGCTGTTCAAAATACATCATATGTTTACTTCTACTATTTGAAGCAGACTCAATTTACAAATACGATCACCACATGCTAGTTAGAAAATGTTTACTTTTCAGTCACTGTCTATAAACGAGGAGCTCGAGTACATAAACCTCCCACTCAAATGTTTGTGAATATAAAGCTTGTGGTCGTTCTTGAAACCTTCGCATCGAATTACATTCCTAGTCCACCGATTCTTTGATGTTATCTTCCAGGTAGTAAAAACAGCTTTTCAGATCTATTTTGGTGCCCATCACAAACTAGAGTGCAACAATCTTGTTTGTGTTTACTTATATCTTTCCTCAGGCTTTTGTGCGTAGAAAGGTTGTAAGCAAAAGTTCGAAGATTTCAAATGCTATGCTGTGTGTCTCAAACAATGGATTATCCGAGAGCAGATGATATTTTCAAAAACAGCTTCTTTCTTCTCAATGTTCTTACTTTGACCTGTAGAATGATGAGAGGGAAAGAGGTACTGACAGGCTACATGCACAAGCTTTCAATAGAGGGAAAAGCCGGAGTGAGATGGGCAGGGGTTAGGGAAAGCAGGACAACAGTTTGTTCCTGCTATTCCCGGAATGTATACAGTCATGTAGATTTTCCGCTCAAGTTAGTGTCTTTGCGATGCCAAGACTGGGCGATAAAATTTGCGCGTGAATAAATAGCCACGGTAAAGTGCTGGCATTTTGCGCGCGCTAGTAAGGTTCATTTGTAAAATCGTGACGACGGATTTGACTGCGGTCTTTGTGCCCAGAAAAGCAATAACATCCTCTTACAAAAAGGCATCACCCCAACGCGCAGCTCAATCATTTTCAGTATCCAAGTACTATCATACCTAAGCAGAAAAACCAGTCGAGTAGAGATTAAAACCAAGAAAGTGTTTGCCGGAAGGTGCGTGCGTGTCGCGCGCGGCCGCGCCATCGTCACAATTTTTCGAATGATCTATAACCGGCATTACACGCGCAGGAGTTTGTTCGCGCACGAATTTGGTCGCTTAACCTCGGCACCGCAATCACACTACATCAAAGGCACCGTCCACCCAAAATCTTGACTACCCATTTTTTTGGTCGTTTCGATGCCTTGTCATGTCTCTTCTTCTGAACACGAACTCGAGAATCCGCGATCCCAACAATCCCGTTCCAGAGCACTCGCACGGCTTTCCGGAACGGTGACTGGATGGGCGTTCACGTATGAGCGGGCATCACTGAGGGGGGGGGGGGGTGCCGACGGGGGGATCCTCATGTCTCGCTATTCCAAAGCGATTTTCTCGCTTCCGAAGCGACATCTTGCGCTGCGACTTGGGCATTGGCATAGTAGGGGGTCCTACTATAGTAAGCTGCCAAAAGCTCGAGACCCCTAACTAGGGTAAACGTTGCCCTTGAGCGGAAAATCTAGTAGACCCAATCTAGGTTCATAATCCCTTGGCAATATACAAGAATCTTTGAAGAAGACCTTAATATAAGATTCATCGGAACACTTATGAAAGCTGGGCTGGATGGTTCTAGATATTCTATCAAACTGTAGTACATGAAATGCAAATCTCATTTTATATATCTTATGAGAAAAATAGCATGTGCAAAAATCCCCAGCTATGAGTTGTGAGACAGTGAATAACTGACATACCCAATGAGTAACGGTAAGATGGTAATTAAGAGAAAAGTTGCGTTTTTACGCCAAAGCCTTTATGTAACATTGCACAGCCCACTCGTTCAAAAATAAATGTATTATCGTGAGAAAAGAACTGGCAGAGAATTGAATGTCACGATCTAGAATCAAATTCACTTATAGTGGTCTTTGCTCTAGGGATTCTCAGTTAACAAGATTTACTGGTTGTCTATGGCTCGGGCGGAGTATATGTCCTTGGCTTCTTGTCGGGCGAAGGATATGTCTTTGTCTTCTTGTCGGGCGGAGAATATGCCTTTTGCTTCTCGTCGGGCGGAGGAGATGCCTTTGGCTTCTTGTCGGGCGGAGGAGATGCCTTTGGCTTCTTGTCCGGAGAAGGAGAGGCCCTGGGTACTTGCTCGCGATCCTTGGAGGGATTCCGAGGAGCTCCATCCACTTTTTCACGAGGAATGTTCGGCTTGTTGATACGGGGATCTTTCCATTGCCGAGGAGGCTCTTCAACGTTAGATCGCCATCTTCCACCGCCCCTTACTCTTCCGCTGGCCCTTACTCTTCTACTGTCTCTGTGGCTTGGCTCATTGACAATTTTTGGTAGAACATTCCACCTTTGTCTCTCGTATTTGATCAACCAGGGATCTGATCCATCTAAAGATCGCTTGGCTACGGAGAAGCGTTTTGACAAAAGCGTTCTCTTGTGGTGTTTCAAGAAACTCTCCGCATTTGATTCAATCAAATTATTTCCAGATTTGATCTTTGTGGAGTCTGTTAAACAAAAATATCGCAACTGGTGGCTTATGCGTGGTTTTAACTCACCTGATTGCTTTTTTGTGACATAATGTCCTGCTTCTCTATACAGTTCTTTTGACGTCGGTTCGTGCTGATGACCCTACAATTTAGAGAGTAAAAGAGCTACTAAGTTCGTGTTCGTTATTTTCTTCGATAACTTTATATCTGAGAGTGCAATTTTGATCTAAGGCTCCTAGGAAGTAATCAGTACTTGTTTTCATTCATCCAATGCGCCATGGCGTTCAGCACAAAAAATGGCACGAATCAACAATTTTGAAGTTTGGAGACTATTCAGCGTAAAAACATAGAAAAGCAAACGACTCTGGCATCTATATGTTACTTCTTCTTACAGGTTCTAAAATTCTTCTGGTCTAAAATTAGCTTAAAGGCTCTAAAATTCTTCTGATCTAAAATTAAAATTAGCTTACAGGAAAAGCACATCAGTTTCGTGGTGGCCTTTGCCAACAAGAGGTATATTAATTGAAATTACCTGAAACGCTGATTACGAGTCTGACGCCCATATCTGCTCCACAACTGGACAAAGTTACAAACATTTTTTTGCTCAGATGAAACTACACTTGGTTGCTTGCTATAGACTAAAGTAGCCGAGTGGCTTCCAAAGAGGGGTGCGACCTTACACAAATTCTACATGAGATAACTTTACCCAAGGGGAATGGATCATGCAATTTACTTCGAGAATTGCCTCTAACCTTATTCTATAAGTCGATTTGCAATAGGTTTTGCAAAACAAACTTTGCCATTAGGTTCGACTATGCTTTATCTGTGACTTGGAAGTGGAACGTCAGACAACGATATTTTGGTTTTGTGTACTAAAAAAATCAGACCACCGATCAGGTGTATCAGAGATACCGTCCTCCAAACTTTACGCTGGCTATGTCAGATACAGGCCAAGACTTCAAACCTTTTAACGCTGAAATCATAAGCGTAGTTCTTGCTAAAGGAGACTCAAGTAATTATTAGTAAACAAATGATGCAAGTTGTGTCGAGTACGAAGGGTAAAGCGCAGTTTTTCAATTAAGCTTTAATATTTTCTTCTCGTTTATCATCTGAGCAGTGTGCCATTTTGCGGCTCTAGAGCAGTGGATCGTCCTTCTTTGCAGTACTATACAGGGTGTCCCAAAAGTATGTATACACTGCTTGATCGTTAATATCTCTCTTCCCAAGGAATCTTCTGCCTGTTTTCAGGTATCATTTTGTAAAGCTGGTTTCAACTTAGATTTACAGTATAGAGCGAACCAGCCATCGCTCTTCATTACTGTAGGATTACGGTAAGAACTTTCGGCTTACAGCGTCATTGTGGATTAGTCGTGTTTCAGGAAGCTTTTCCAGAAATTCTGAAAAGCGGTGCATGAGAGATTTCATGCCTGCTGATTTCATTACTCAACGTTTTGGGAGTCTGTAAAGCTTTTCAGATGGTGTAATCACAGTCTCACGAAGCATTGTAAAGACAGCTGCTGCGGTTTATCTGGCATAAGTCATGAAGGAAGCATTGCGGTAAAATGCAGAGTTCATATTTGGGTTTCAGCGACTTTAAGTAGCTTTGTGTAAGAGTTCCCAGTTTGTTTGATTCGTTTTCTGAGGCAAAATAGGGCCTTCTATGGCTCAAATCCCTTCTTGAATTTCCTACCGTAATCCTACAGTATCAAAAAGCAGTCGTTAGTCCGCTCCATACTACAATTCTAAGTTGAACCTCGTCTACAAAATGGTACCCAAAGTCGCCGTAAGGCATTAAAGCAAGAGACTTATTAAAGATCAAACAGTGCATACATACCTTTGGTACACCTTGTAAAATTGATCAGCTTACGCGTCTCACGTTGATACGTCTTGGTGTCTTCGAAAGTAATTGGCAGACGTTTTTAAACATTGAATCTTCTTGTCAGTGTTCAAGGAACTTTCTCAACAGATATGCAGGGTGTCCCAAAGATCGCGCTGTTTGATTGTTATAAGATTGGCTAAAAAATAATCACAGATAGACTTGGGGTATAAATATTCGGAACCATTCGAAAGAGTAAATCGAGGAGAATCAGATGTTAACTTTGTTCCTCAAAGATTATATTTTTGATAGCGAGATGGTGCAGGAAAGCCAAAAGCCAGATTTATTCGTCAAATATCCGAAGAATCATGCTCAAATACAAACAATTAGGTGTAAAGTGCTCGAATAGTACGCACACTGACGATTTTGATATAACAACCACTTGCATGGTCGTAGATGGTGACATTTAAGCGATTCAAATTGCCCTAAAACTGTCTTCCATGCGCACATACTCGGAAATCCTCACAATTAACTGCAATACACAGACAACAGATTACAGCCTCCTTTGTGGTTTTCCATGTAGCCAAAGGTTGTATGTATTCAGCTACTAAACATCTCATCTGTGCGTTTACTACAAGCTGAGTAAGGCTTGGAAAATCAAAAAGTGATTTTTTGGAAGGCTAGCCATATAAGGTCACGACTGTCCTTGATCACTTTTGAGAAGTCTATGTAGCAAGTAGGAAAAGCTTGAAGCTAGCTCACAAAAAATCACAGCCAAAGAACAGGTGCTTGAGTTTTCAGGAAGCTTCGAGGTTTTATGCCAAAACGAAATTGTTTATTAGCCAATCTAATAATATCTCTCCTCCCACAAAGTCTGTTGCTGACCTTTAACAACCATTCTGTGGATGTGGCTTTAACTTAGACTTATAGGATAGAGCAAATCACCGATATCTCCTCATTACTGTAGGACCACGGTTAACCTCCGGCATACAACGCCAAAAAAAACTCAGATTTGAAGAGTTGTGCAGCGTGTTCTCACGAATGCTTATATAGTTACACAACTTTTGCGAGGTTCTATCTTGAAATTGCGTGTTCACAGGAAAGAAAAAGTGGTTGCTACATTATCGCATGTTTTCAGAAAAAGCATTATGGAAAAATGCGAACTTCCATGTACAAAGTCAGCGGTGCTGATTACCTCAACGCGAAAATATTAAGTGTTTCGTTCCTTTTTTAAAGCAACATATGGTCTTCAATGGCTCAAAATCCTCTTCAGAATTTCTAAGTAATCCCACAGTGATGAGGAATTAGTGAATCTCTCCATGCTTTCAATCTAGGTGAGCCAACTTTACACAATGGTACGTAAAAGGGAGGGGGGAAGGGGAGTGAAACGGTCTGGAGGTGCGATCGGCCCGGAATTTTCGCGAAGCAACGCCGCAACGCACTTCAAATAACACAACAGCGGCATTCCTGGCGCATTGTTACTTATGACATCGTCTCATGTATCTTCCCCACCCCCACTCCCTGTTTTTGCCGCGGGGAACTTCTAACAGAGAGAGTTTCGTGGGTACCAGAACGTGGCCGCGGCGGCAGCTCGCAGCCCTTGAGGGTCTGCAAAAGCTTTGTAAACATTACTCTGACAGAGAGAGAGACACCCTGTACTTCTTATCGGCAAAGACCACTTTGAATTGAGCATTTTTCAATAGATATTCGTGCTTAGATGCTGAAATGCAACTAACCTGTAGTTCTGTTGTTTTCTCACTTGTACCACGAGGATTGTCTCTTTCATTTTCTAAAAAAAACTGTCTTTTCTTTATCGCTGCTAAACCTTGCTCAATAGTTTTGAACGCACTGTAAGCCCATCAATTCGAGCACGTGCTGTGTATAAGCGACAATACGACGAAACTATAGCTAGTTTACAAAAACGCATGCGCATGGTACCGTCGTTGTCGCCGTTAATATCTGTGGGGTAAACGCGATGTCGCATCGGAAGCGTCCTGTAGGCAAGCATAACTCTTCTCAAAGTCAGATTCTCAGAAAGAAAAGCACGTATTCGGAAAAAGCTCATCAGGTCTATCCAAAACTGTTCTTATCTTCTGCGATATCCGTGCCCTTTTCAAATTAGGTGAGTCCAAACTTGAAAGCAATTGTAGCTACCGTGCAATCACTTATGAGCTGACTATTCGAAATCGTCGGCGCTAACTTCGACGTCAGCAAAAGTTGGAAGGACAAAAGTTCTTACAAAATATTTGTGCATTTTTGGAGTAAAAAAGCACTTCTAGAGCATATGCCTTTTTTCAATTCTGGCTTGTATAGAACTACAATGAAGCGGCGTTTCTAACGCGATATCGCGGGTATTTTGCAGATTCTAAGGAGGCACCACTACTTACATGCACAAATGTATTCTTACTGAGCTGTAGCGCTTGCAAACCCACAGTTTTGTATGTGTTTATCCTGGCCCTTGATGCGTAACCGTATTCTGCAGAGCGCAATTTGAAAACGTTGGCAGAAAATTTCAGTATTTTTCTGTTATCCGGACCCAATCTCTCACAGAAGATTATATTGTGTATTGTTTGTGAGCCGTGACCGAGATTGTTACAATACTTTATCGGCTAACGTTTCGGCAGATCGCCTTCTTCAGAGCATAAAATGGGTAATACGATCTGCAATACCATCTCACAAAATATTGCTTCTTCGCTTGTTCCGTATCCAACCCCAATTCACAAGAAAAAGTGTTAACCTGCCTTTCGCAAAAACTGTCAACAGGAGGCCCACCCTTTTGCAGAAATGAGCAAAACTTTGGCTATTGTTTTCTGCAAAGGAAAACTATGGGCCACAGAGTGCCAAAACCACTCCTCATGTTGAGGCGCCGAAATCTCAATCTGGGTTATCTAAGAAAATAGTGAAGTATGCGTAATGTAGACAATCTCTATTACAGATGATTGTTAAATTTTCCAAAAGAACACCTTCCAAGCTTAGATTCTGGCCAAAAGGTAAGTGCAATGAAATTCTGATTTCGAGTGCGGTTGCATGAAGCTCTGTTTACTTCTAATGAATAAGGTTAAAAGCTCCTTTCAACCATCATTAGATAGAGCATGAAAGGAGCTTCTTGAAAGTATATAAATTTTTTGAAGGAGAAAGTTTGATGGAGAAACGTTGTCCTGAAACAAGGGCTAAAAAACGCGCATTACTTTTGCACCAACCTAATAACACGATAATATACGAATAAATAGAATTCTGAAGTAAATCGTAATAAGAATAAACTCACCTTTTTCTAATTACAAAAGATATAGCAGCGGAAATGCTCAGAAAACAGAATAAGTCGCTCAGCGCGTTGACATTTAGGCGCTTATCAGCTGTTGATATCGAATATATTTGGCGTGCTTTAAACCTAGTGATGTGTGTCTACGGTCCTTGCGCACAGGACGAAGCCGGCGTACTCGACCCCTAGTCGGTTGCGCCTTCCTGCGTCTCCACGCTGAGCCCACTATTTTTTCTCCGCCCCTTAAGTGACGACATTCACGTGCTCGTCCTCTGCGGAATGAGGACTAGCACGTCCTGCAGTCATGACGTCCCGCGATTTCGCCGCGCGGCCGTGATAAGAGATATGAGCGGCTTCACAACTTTGGCGAGGCGGAACTGTTCTAACGTGCCTTGCGTTGCGGTTGCCCTGTGCTGAAGCATACCTGATCCGTCGATCTTTGATGAGGATCACGATTCCGCCTCGTCAAAGTTGGGGAGTCGACAATAGGCTCGACGAATGGCGGCCAAAACGATACGTACTGGATACGTGCGATGTTTCGAACGACACGACCATCACGACGGGGGGGGTACTACGGGACCCGATTTCCGATCGTTGGCCGGACGATGAAATGGCGTGATATACGCTCGGGCCCAAGTTCATGACAAAATCGGGTTCTCGCACAAGACTACTTGTTTAGCGATCTTCATGCTATCAGCTCACCTTTGCCGGACTCAACCACGAATGTCTGAGAAAGGTTACTGTCGGCCACTAGCGCGGCAACTGTGTCAGCCGATAGGACAGGCCCACGCTGGTCGCACACAAGGGCAAATCTGTTGCCGACCGATAAACGGTGACATTGTATGCCGGTAAACAGCATTTCCATTGCATACCACACGTACGGAAGCTTTAAGCTTCTGTCGCCCTCCTCTGCGGTGAAACGAGGGCCGCTCGGGCGGCGGGAATTCCTTGGAAGACAATATTCGTGAGTTTGAAAATTACCTTCACCTTGGCTGAAAATTCTTGACCATCTTTGTATAATTCTTGCCTTCCAAATTGTCTATTGTCATTAAGTTAATGCAAAAATAATGACCGTTTTGCGAATGTTCATTTTGACGTGCTATAACTTTTTAAAAAAAAACCACATTTCTGAGTGCGGTAAGTACCATCAGAAGCAGCAAACCTCTTCGACAGCGCACATTTATCTATACTTCCGTCATAAATGGGAAAAAATATGGAATGTAAAACAAAAAGGTTTTTTCTAAAACCTTGTCTTTGAAGACTCATAACTTTCTTAAAATTTTGTTATAAATGATAAGGCCCATCTTGTAGCCGCACGCCAGCAGTATAAAACAGATCAAAAGGGCCTGGACCAAAAAATTTGCGAGAAGGAAGATTTACAAATATCACTCTTTTGAACACTTTTTCAGTATTTCTCCAAGTCCCAACTATAGAATTTTCTAATTTTCGTCTTGAACAGCTGATGTTTTCGCAAAAACTGCTAATAGGATGCCCTAGCCTTACGCTTACAGAATTGAGCAAAGCTTTGGCGATAGTCTTGTTCTTCTTCAAAAAAAACTATGTGTCACACAATGACCGCAACGGTTACCAATGTTGACATCTCAATGTAAATAACTTCGAAAAATAAAGTTATGTACGCATAATGTAGACAATTTCTATTTCATACAATAGTTAGATTAGGAAGCGCCGTTCATATGCGCTCGAATTTTGGCCAGAGTGTCTGATGAGTGTGCAATTTTTGTGAGCAAGTTGGAGATTTGTGGGATTTTTTTGAACAAAGATATGAATTTTTCGCGACTTTTTGAGCCTTCAGTGCAACTCAGATTTTGGATGCAATTACAGTGGGTCGAAGTTGCGACAAACTTTTGCATCCTATCCTGTAAAGCTTGCTTTGCTCTATCAAATAGTGTCCTGGATTCCCATTGAAATCTTGAACTGTATGATTTATCGCCGTAAGAAGTGAGATTGTCTCAAGACTTATGTTACAACCTAATAGAACTCTTTTTGGAGCAGGCGAGAGCCTCTCCTTCAAGACGCTTTCGAAGCGAAAGTACGGATGGGGCGCCGGCCCGAGAATGGGTCGCGAAATTTTTGGAAGTTACTCAAATGTGTTGTAAAAATGTGCAAAGGACTTGTTTTTACTTGTAAAAAATTGAGAATTTCTTAAAAATTTTTAAAAATTCGAATTAACCTTGTAAAATTTTGTCGGGTGCGTGGCTGCCGCCACGCCCCCTTTCTCTAAAATTCTGGGGTCAGGGGCCCGGAGAAACTTTGGAAACATCCCCAAAATTTTTCGGAGTGCGTGGCTGACGTTAGCACCTTCATGAGAAAAATCTTTTTTGTCCCCCCCCCCCTCCTCCCCGAGCCGAAAGGAGCGCATATTCCTCCAGGCACACAGTGAAGCACCCGTCTAATTGCGAGTACATTTTTTCAAAAGTGTACATCAGAAATTTGAGCACTGCACAGCTTTTCACGCAGAAAGGCTAAATTCAATAAAAAGGCGCCGACCGTGTTTAGCTACCGTCTGCACACCATTGTAATCACTATTGTGAAGTCGTTTGGTCTAAAAGCTAACAATATACTTCGGAACCAGGAATAGAATTTTAGCAGCACCTGAGATAACGCTACGATAACTGTGTAAGTTGAGAGTACCAACAACGTGGTCGACCGCATCAAAATGAATGGGAAATGCAAAGGCTCTTCCTGATATCCGTATACAAGTTGTTAACGAACATGTTATTGAATGATCGACTGATGAGAATTTCTTTTCTAGATATGTCGTTGGTCGTTCAACAGCAATGGTGATGTTGCCTTCATTGATGTTGCTGTGAATCCCATTTTCCGTGCCACTTTTAACCAACTGATAAGGACTCGCAAGGAAGAATGAGACTTTATGTTAATCATTCCATTATTCAAAAACAGTCACAGCGTATAGCAACAGCAATAACAGCAATGGCCGCAACCCGCATCAACTTTGTGTACGTCAGCTTTGCCTGCGCTACACGATACCTTTGAACGGGTAAAGGAATGAGTTAAGTTGATGCGTCGCCTTCGTAAACCAATCCGGTTTGCAACAGCATCTGCGAAAGGGTCAGTACTCTGTGAAGGAGGCGTTTGGTGGAAAGCCATAAAAGGGGCATTACACATCGCTGTAGGAATAAGTCAGCGATAGAGACTATAATACTAGTTTTTTTATTTAAGAAAACTGTCTGGGTTAGATGATAGTGCAAAATATAGTTTTAACGAGCAAAAGTTTTGTATATTAAAACAACTTTCGAGAATCAGTCGTTTAACACATTGACGACCGCTTGACACACATGGTGTGTCAAGCAATGATTACCGCGTTGGACCGCTTGACACACCAGTGTGTCAAGACTTTTATCGTGGCATAAACTCACTCCATGAGCCTTCTTTTGCACTGAATCTGGGGATGACCTCTGCCCTTTTTGTCAGCCTTTCAGAACTACTGTAAGTATACTGTAGATGGCAGCATGCGTAATTATAGTTGAAAAATGTGGTCTGGTCCGTAAAAAGCCTTGGTCCCAGAAGGTAGGCAATTAAAAATCTGCATGGTCGTCAATGTGTTAAACATTGTTCCTTTTGAGGTTTTTCTGCTACTTTTTTCGAATTCGAATACTTGAGTATTGTTACGCTTTAAAGCTCTAGAATCAGTAATCGATAGCTGAACGTTATCGGATACTCAACTATTCTAATATTTGAATGATTGTATCTGACCGAACATTCGACAATATCAACATACAACAATCGGTTGGAAATCTCTTTGTTGCAAATGGCAAAAGAAATCAGTTTCTATATCTTGCACATCTGATTTCCGATTTGGAGCCCAGATAATTACTAGTAATTCAAAAGTTGTTACTAAGTGTAAAATGACTCGACTTACTTATATACTTACATCTTGAGCACTTTTTCGGCTCTTGCTGAACTTTACAAGATTGGTATGGTAACTATATTGGCTGACGTCGAAGTTCGTCGACGATCGATCGTCTGAGAAAGACAGACTCCTCTTTCTCCGCCGGTGCCACTAACAACCATGTAATCCCGAACTTCATTTCGAGGAAACGACTATACAAAGTGTGCCGAAGGAAGGATCTCGTTGAAGGCAGTGTCCGGGCAAGAAGTCGATTTTGAGATTTTTTGCTTGCCTGGGCCTATTCGCTATACTGGATCCAAAAATCAACACTGGAGTGCGCGAAAATAGCGAAAGAGCGCTCCAACGCAGGCGGGAAATTGCAGGTGGTTGGAACTGTTTACATTAGGTCACTCTCCCACCTTCAGGAGCGATCTTCTCGGTTCAGATTTCATGTCATGTGTTCCGCAGATGGTGGCTGGCGGCGATGTTAGGGCTACTAGCGGAATCGAGGATGTCGCTCCTAAAACTGGGAGAGTGACGTCACAGTGTGGGCCTCGCCCACCTGCGATCTCCCTCCTGCATTAGAGCTCTTTTTCGCCATTTTCGTGCACTCCAGCGTTGATTTTTGGATTCAACATAGCAAATAGCCATGGGTGAGTACAAAATCTCACGTTCGATTTTGCCTGGACACTGCCTTTAAGTCCACTGCATCGAGCACACTTCTGTACGCTAATCTTCGAACAAAGAAGAAGCATATGTTGTCGCTTATATTGAAGTATACCTATACAGAACAGTGCTGAAGACGTTTCTTGCTCTGCTATATTTGGAGGAGGATAGAGGGTGAATCGAAGTGCATTTGTGGTCTAATTCGCTTCGATTCCAAGGCGGTCACGAGATAAATTCGACAGTGGTTGGATGTAGGCAAGATCAGAGTTCTAGGTGAGTAGTATGACCCGAACCAAAAACCAAAACTGTACTGAGGCAGTTTTGGTTTTCGGTTCGGCTCATACTACTTACCTGGGACTCTGATCTTTCCTACAACCAACCACTGCCAAATTTATCCGTATGTCTCTCTCGTGCTCCCATAATGATGACTTTGAAGCTCACCGCGCGACGCTGTACATCACAAATGGATTGTAAACAGCTGTTCTTTTTTGAAGCATCTCCATGTAAGATCGGTAATTTTCAGAAAGGAACTTTTTGGTACTATTCCAGTATACCGACCCCAAAAATTAAAAATCTCGGATTTCGCTCAAACTCGGTATAGGGGGGGGGTTATTCGATCCGCTGATGCCGAATATCATATCGATTCCATGCGACAGCACCATTTTCCGGGGGTTACGGTGGGTACACGGTAGGAGGTCAAAATCACAAAATTCTCTGAGACTTGGTGCAGGGAGGTTATTTGACATGCTGAACACGAATATGATACCGATTCGTTACGGTAGCACCTCATTCCGGGGTTACGGTAGGTATACTGTAGGAGGGTCTTATTCACTGCTTTACACCCACCGCCGCGCGCGATACACCCTGCGGCGGCTTTTGCCTAAGCAAAGCAGAGGGAGGAAATTTTCGACGTGTGACTGAGATTTCAAGCCCTGAATCTCGATCTAGCGGTGGTATTGGTAATACCCAACGTAACGTCGGAATGAGGCACTATCGCAACTGATAGACATCATAATCGTGATCAGCATGTCAAATAACCCCCTACACGAAGTTTCAGCGGATATCGTGATTTTGGCCCCTTACCGTATACCCACCATAACCCCGGAATGAGGTGCTACCGTAACGAATCGATATCATATTCGTGTTCAGCATGTCAAATAACCCCCCTGCACCAAGTCTCAGAGAATTTTGTGATTTTGACCTCCTACCGTGTACCCACCGTAACCCCCGGAAAATGGTGATATCGCACGGAATCGATATGATATTCGGCATCAGCGGATCGAATAACCCCCCTATACCGAGTTTGAGCGAAATCCGAGATTTTTAATTTTTGGGATCGGTATACTGGAATAGCGCCTGATAATCTTCATATTAAGCTACATTTCCGTGCAAAAATAGTTTTTAGATGAAGCCTTGCCAAATTGATTTTTTACGCGATTACTACATTTTGGCGCTGTTTTCGCAGAAAAGCAAACTTTTTGAGCAGTTTTTGAGCTAAAATTCTTGGAGCGCAGATTTATCGTCAACCAAACCATGACTTTGCAAAAGTTGAAATCTTTTGTGACCTAGTTTTGAGCCCCAAAAGCCGCGTGTACTCGTTTGACGCTAAATTTTGAAGGATCCGCTTATCGAACCGGCTCGTCCTTGTGCATGGTGGGCCTACATACTGGTACGAAATGTTATGCAAAATTGTAGCCCAATAGCTTGGCTCCAGCTCCTTCTATGAGTTTCGTGACAGTCAGACAAACACACATATAACACGCACAAAAAGACAGAGCTTAGCTCTTTATTATAAGTCACTAGCTGGCTTACCCGGCTCCGCCGTATCCGGACCAAACTTGGCACACATACACTTCGGGCCCCGGCGGGTGTCACAGTCCACTCTTTGTTATCGATCCATGTCGATTTTACCGATTTTTATCGATTTTTTTGCAGAGTTCACCTACAGGGCTAGGAGTTGGCACAGGGGGGGAAGTGAGCATGGGGATTCGGAATACAATATTAGTTTTCAGAATTATCGATTACTCTTATTGATTTTATCGATTTTTTGTAAATTTTGACATGCGAGGCTGGGATTTTGCACAGGGGGGTAATCGAGCATGCTGATTACGAACACAATATTAGTTTTCAGGATCGTCCATTACTTTTATCGATTTTATCGATTTTTTGAAAATTTGAGCTAGGGGGCTGGAATTTGGCACAGGGGTGTAATCGAGCATGCTGATCACCCCCCTTGGGGATGATCAGCATGCTCGATTACCCCCCTGTGCCAACTCCCAGCCCCCTAGCTCAAACTTTGCAAAAAATCGATAAAACCGATAAAAGTAATCGATAATCCTGAAAACCAATATTGTATTCGGAATCCCCATGCTCGATTACCCCCCTGTGCGAACTCCCAGCCCCGTAGCTCAAACTTTGCAAAAAAAATCGATAAAATCGATAAAAGTAATCGATAATCCTGAAAACCAATATTGTATTCGGAATCCCCATGCTCGATTACCCCCCTGTGCGAACTCCCAGCCCCCTAGCTCAAACTTTGCAAAAAATCGATAAAACCGATAAAAGTAATCGATAATCCTGAAAACCAATATTGTATTCGGAATCCCCATGCTCGATTACCCCCCTGTGCGAACTCCCAGCCCCGTAGCTCAAACTTTGCAAAAAAAATCGATAAAATCGATAAATCGATAATCCTGAAAACCAATATTGTATTCGGAATCCCCATGCTCGATTACCCCCCTGTGCGAACTCCCAGCCCCCTAGCTCAAACTTTGCAAAAAATCGATAAAATCGATAAAAGTAATCGATAATCCTGAAAACCAATATTGTATTCGGAATCCCCATGCTCGATTACCCCCCTGTGCCAACTCCCAGCCCCGTGGGTGAACTCTGCAAAAAAATCGATAAAAATCGATAAAATCGATATCGATCGATGACGAAAAGTAGCCTATGACACCCGCCTGGGACCGAAGTGTATGTGTGCCAAGTTTGGTCCGGATCGGTTCAGAAATGGAATTTTCTATTCGGAACATACGTACACACATACATACATACATACATACATACATACAGACAAACAGACATTCAGCTTTATATTAGGTCGTTCCAAAAGTAATGTCGCTTTTTTCAAATGAAC